CACATCTGGGCCTGCAGCTTTGTTAGGATTCACAGCTCTCAATACAGCTCTCACTTGATGTTCGTAGAGACTGAGTGGCTGGGAATCAGAAGGCCAGCAGCAGCGGCTATGGGATCTGGTCTTTTCACCGCGTAGTGGGCGAAGGAGGTGTTCAACTCCTCCACCAACGAGGCATCAATGTTGACTGTGTTCCTCGTGTTCACCTTATAGTTAGTTAGGTGGTGCAGTCCTTGCCACATGTGCTCTGGGTTGTTATCTGCCAGATGGTTCCTTCCTTGTCAACCTTGGTTGGTACCTCTGCCCAAACTTAACAATGAAATGCACCTGAATTGGTACTTGTATTGGATACCTTCTTCATCTTCATTATTTTCATCATCACTCCAATCCTAGTCCTCACCCTCTATGCCTTCCTTTAAAAAGAAATAGATACTTGAATCTGAATGAAAGAGTAACTAGAAGAATTACACACAAGTGTGTGCGGAGTCTCACTGGTGTCAGGGCCATGATCATGACCTAATGCTGCCTGAAGCAAGACAGCTTCCCCTTCCATTCCATATACCATAAACAATGAAATGCACTTGAATTGGATTATTGGATCATCTTTGTATTCAATCATCTTCACTATTATCATCATCACTCCATTTCTAGTCTTCACCCTGTGCCTTCCTTCCTTTAAAAAGAAATAGATACTGGAATCTGAATGAAAGAGTGTGTGTACACATGTTGTGTGCAGTGAATACAGATAGGGACTGAGCATATAGTCCCTACCTGTGGGAAGCCAGTGCTAAGCTTCAGGGAGGTGGATATGACAGACCCAACCCTCACTGTTTGTGGCTGGTCCCTCAGAAAGTCTTCGATCCAGTCGCAGATGGAAGAAGGAAAATCCAAGTCAGTCACCTTTTCAATAAGATGCTCGGCAGAATGGTGTTGAAGGCTGAGCTATAGTCTATGAAAAGCATCCTGAAATAGTTTCCGGGTTTCTCCAGATGGCTCACTACAGAATGTAAAGCAGTAGCTATGGCGTCGTCTGTCGACCTAGTAGGCAAGCTGATGTTTGTCAAAGTCCGGTGGGAGGCATGTCCTAAGGTGTTGGAGAACCAATCTCTCGAAGCATTTCATCACTACAGACGTTAATGTGATAGGACTGTAGTCACTTAAGTAGTTAATTGCTGTTTTCTTTGGGACTGGGACAATAGTGGCTGCTTTCAAACATGATGGAACACAGGCCGTTGGCAGGGAGATGTTAAAAATCCTTGTCAGGACCCCTGCAAATTGACTGGCACAATTCTTTACCATTATCCCCAGCACCACATCTGGGCCTGCAGCTTTGTTAGGATTCACAGCTCTCAATACAGCTCTCACTTGATGTTCGTAGAGAGTGAGTGGCTGGGAATCAGAAGGCCAGCAGGCAGCGGCTATGGGATCTGGTCTTTTCACCGCGTAGTGGGCGAAGGAGGTGTTCAACTCCTCCACCAACGAGGCATCAATGTTGACTGTGTTCCTCGTGTTCACCTTATAGTTAGTTAGGTGGTGCAGTCCTTGCCACATGTGCTCTGGGTTGTTATCTGCCAGATGGTTCCTTCCTTGTCAACCTTGGTTGGTACCTCTGCCCAAACTTAACAATGAAATGCACCTGAATTGGTACTTGTATTGGATACCTTCTTCATCTTCATTATTTTCATCATCACTCCAATCCTAGTCCTCACCCTCTATGCCTTCCTTTAAAAAGAAATAGATACTTGAATCTGAATGAAAGAGTAACTAGAAGAATTACACACAAGTGTGTGCGGAGTCTCACTGGTGTCAGGGCCATGATCATGACCGAAGCTGCCTGAAGCAAGACAGCTTCCCCTTCCATTCCATATACCATAAACAATGAAATGCACTTGAATTGGATTATTGGATCATCTTTGTATTCAATCATCTTCACTATTATCATCATCACTCCATTTCTAGTCTTCACCCTGTATGCCTTCCTTCCTTTAAAAAGAAATAGATACTGGAATCTGAATGAAAGAGTGTGTGTACACATGTTGTGTGCAGTGAATACAGATAGGGACTGAGCATATAGTCCCTACCTGTGGGAAGCCAGTGCTAAGCTTCAGGGAGGTGGATATGACAGACTCAACCCTCACTGTTTGTGGCTGGTCCCTCAGAAAGTCTTTGATCCAGTCGCAGATGGAAGAAAGAAAATCCAAGTCAGTCACCTTTTCAATAAGATGCTCGGCAGAATGGTGTTGAAGGCTGAGCTATAGTCTATGAAAAGCATCCTGAAATAGTTTCCGGGTTTCTCCAGATGGCTCACTACCGAATATAAAGCAGTAGCTCTGGCGTCGTCTGTCGACCTATTTCCCCAGTAGGCAAACTGATGTTTGTCAAAGTCCGGTAGAAGGTATGTCCAAAGGTGTTGGAGAACCAATCTCTCGAAGCATTTCATCACTACAGATCATGACCTAACGCTGTCTACAGCAAGACAGCAAAGCTTCCCCTTCCATTCCATATACCTAAACAATGAAATGCACCTGAATTGGTATTTGTATTGGATTATTGGATCATCTTTGTATTCAATCATCTTCACTATTTTCATCATCACTCCACTTCTAGTCTTCACCCTGTATGCCTTCCTTTAAAAAGAAATAGATACTGGAATCTGAATATAGCAGTAACTAGAAGAATTACACACAAGTGTGTGTGGACTCCCCTTGGTATCAGGGCCATGATCATGACCTAATGCTGCCTGAAGCAAGACAGCAAAGCTTCCCCTTCCATTCCATATACGTAAAAACAGTGTTTAGGCAATTAGTTTTACCTAAAGGAAACAGGCTGACTAGGGTGTGAGATTGAATGTATTCTGGAGTTCCAGGGGGACAGGCTCTTTCCAGGGGTGGGTTCTACTTAAATTTACTACCTGTTTGCAATGGGGCCACGCACGCTCTTCTACGCATGCTCTCTGATGAATTCGGGGTCAGTGGGCGGAGCCTCCTGCCGGTTTTACTACCGGTTCTATAGAACCAGTGCGAATCAGGGGCAACCCACCACTGGCTCTTTCCCAGATAGCAAAGACAGCAGAACTTGCCAGACAAGAAGAGGGCAACATGGTCTCTCCTTAGCAATTCACAGAATATATCTACAGTTATGCAGATAATTGCTTTAGTCTGACAAATTTCTATCTGTACACTTATCTGTAAGTGAACAGCAATAAACTTTTTAGAAGTCATTTCACGGTTTATACTTGGTTTGTTTTTTATTTCGGCTGGACCATTACATGGCACACAGCAGTATCAACCAAAATCTCATTGCTACCTCCTCGCATCTAGCATCAGAGAAAATTGTGCAAGCATTTTAAGCATAAACATATATGCTTAAGATGAAAAACAGAAACTTGTATCTTCCCTTATTTCTATCAACCGTATCCTCTCTTCCTGAGGACAAATTTCATGGTGGTGGTGTAAAAGTAGCAACATACAAAAAAGGGGGAAATGAAAGTATTTATGAAAGCCTACAAATGATATAAATAAAAAGCCTTTATTATATCAAAGAAGGGAAATACTTGAGAATAGCTTGTTACTATGACCTGAGAATTCAGCCAAAACAAATTTCTATTTTTATATTTTATATATACATTTTCTTCATTTTACCTTACAATTTCTGCTTTGCAACAGCTCTGTACTGGTGCATATCTACAGTTACCGTGTTTCCCCGAAAATTCCCCGTGTTTCCCCTGTCTTATATTTTTTTGAACCCCAAAATAAGCACTTGGCCTTATTTTTGGGAAGGTCTTATTATTTTGGGGCACCTGGAGCAAGATGGGGCTCCTCTTGCTGTGCAGCTCTGCATTTAAATATTTTTGGGGGAGGACTTATTTTCATGGGGAGGCTTATTTAGCACATGCGCTCAAAAGTCCGATTTGGCTTATTATCGGGGATGTCTTATTTTTGGGAAAACAGGGTACTAATATCTATACAGTATATAATTATCATTCTAAATATTTTTTACATCTCACATTTTTGTAATATCATACGATAATATAATAATATTTATAATAAATATTCTTCATCTATCATTATACTTATTTCTCATTTCTAATTCGTTAATCGTCTTTCATTATTAATTTTCTAATCTTTGCATCTACTATCTAACCAATTATACCATACATCCCAAATTAAATAATATTCTGTTTCTCCTTTGTCCTTAATTTCCATTGTCAGCCTGTCCATCTCAGCACAATATAATATTTTCTTTATTACCATTTCATCAGAGGGTATATTTCCATTTTTCCAATTTTGAGCATAATTCTGGCCGTTGTTATTACATGTAGCATTAACTATTGGATTTTTTAAAATTATATTTCCCTGTTAGTATACCTAATAGAAATAGCTCTGGTTTTAACTCTATTTGCTGTTTTACCATTTCCTCTAACCACTGTTTTATCCTTATCCAATATTTTTGTGCAGATGGACAAGTCCACCGCATGTGGTACTATGTTCCCTGCGTCTGTCTACATTTCCAACATTCTGATGATCTATTTGGGAACATTTTTGCTAGTCTTGCTGGCGGTAGGTGCCATCTATAAAACATTTCATATAAATTTTCTCTATATGCTGCTGACATTGTCAATTTATAATTCTTTTCCCACAATTTTTCCCAATTGTCTAATTCTATGGTATAACCGAAGTTTTTTGCCCAAGTTATCATCGTTTCTTTTACTGATTCTTCTTCCATATTATATCTCAATAAATAATTATATAATTTTTAATCAATTTTTCATCCGTCCCCTGTAGTATTCTGTCCAATTCTTGTGGTTCCTTATAAAACCTATAGTTTTCTGCATCTTTCTTATATCTCATCTGAATCTGCATATAGGGCCACAAATTTCTATTTTTACATTGTGCTCTTTGTAACTCCTACAGACGTATATAAGCTCACGTAATGTTTGCATCCTCCCTCTTCTGAAAGGGAAGAGACATTTTAGTATTTTGCTTTGCCAAATCTTTCCTCACCTGGGATTGGTGCAAAGTTTCAGCTTCCTGGCGGTTCTTCTCCATGACACCCTCATACTGGTCACGGATCTCATTCAGGATTTTTTGTAAATCGGTGCCAGGCATGGAGTCAACTTCCACATTGACAGTGCCCCCCAGACGCCCCTGGAGAGGAGCCACCTCCTATGAAGTGAAAAAAGAGCTCAGAATTTATTAGTTCACATGTATAGGAAACCAGCCAAATATCATCCGGGAAAGGGCAGGATAGCAATGGATAGCAACCAGCAATGTCGCAACAAAATATTAATTACATGAAATTAAATTAAATTGTCATAGGTGGGCCAGAGGGCGGGGGGAATGTTGCACTGGGAAATTAAGCAGTGCAACAGCCTGACTCCTGGAGTCACCTCCTGCTTTATCACTAAAGGGTTTCAAAGACTGGATAGTGTGAAGGAATATGCATTCTCTCCCTCCTGAGAATCCAGATCACATTCCATCAAATTGTCATTTGTCTGGGATGGTTTAAGGCTTTCTGCCCTGAACAAAAGGTTGGATTGGAAAACCTCCAAAATTCCTCCGACCCTAGGATTCTAGGATTCTGTGATTCTACAAAACAAACCTGAGCAGCATTCAGTCAACATGCCTTGTTTTATGCTTAATTATATTTAAAATGGGAAGGTAAGCAAGGAACTGAAACCAAAGCAAGCAAAACAAAATAGAAAGAAAATTAGGATTATAGAGAGGTTCCAGAGCATTTTGAATTTGATTCCAAGATGCTTCAGAAACTGGGGAGGGGACAGGCACAAACAGCAGTCTGAAATGCTTTAAAGGACTGCATCTTTTCCCAGGATGGTGAAGTTGACACCAGCTGCCACATGCAACTGAAATATAAACTATATAATGTAGCCATGGGGCTTCTTCTCATTGCACGCTTAAGCTGAAAAACATCTATGCCTATATCATCTGGAAATGAAACTGGCTTTCAGATCTGCTGCAAGTTAGACATTTATGAAAGAAAGACCCTCAACTTCATTTGGTTGAAGTGATAGGTTATTTTACTAAAGTCAAGCAGTTGCAGCAAAAGTAAAGCTAGATCTGAATATTCCCACACTAAGACTACATTATTCGCCTTTTCTTGGCCCTCCCCCCTGACCAGTTCAACAATGTTGAAATGTAGTGGGTTTCAATAAGCCAGGCAACTCCAAGTGACTTCAACTCTTCTTTTATTCCATAATAAAAGCAAGTAAAAAAGACTAGAACAAGCTTACTTAGCGAGGAACAGACCGAGAATATATATGCTTTTGGGCGTCCGCCACAGGCTGGCCACTGGGTGGAGTAATTGACCAACAAAGCTGATTGGACCTAAAACCCCGGCCAGCCCTTGGTCCTAAAGCCCCGGCCACCTATTTGGTAGAATCAGGAAACCGCCGGCTGGGGCCATTGCAACCCAGAAGCGCAGCCAAAGCCGATCCTGAGACACAACACTCCTCCCCTCTAAGTGCGAATTGCCCCACAGACATAGTCTTTAAGGTGTATGGGCAACCGCCTCTCTCGGCACAACCTGCGTGGCAAGGTCTTTTCTGGGGAGGTGGCCGTCTCCTCAGTTGTAGCTGGAGTATTGGCCACCGGGGGTTCCATGATCACATCCGCCGGCCCCGTCTCCGGCTGAGATCGACTGGCCTCCACATTAGCGGGGATCTCCAACCTTGCCGGTTCTCGCTCCAGCCCTACCGGGCTGGGTGGGGCAAGTTCCCGCTGTGGCTCTGGGAGGTACAGATACTCCAACACTTCCGTCTCCTCCTCTAGAGGGATTACCCTCCGCCTCAACTGATCAATATGACGTCCCCAGATGGCCCCCCACTCTGTGGAAACCTCATATGAGGTGGGCCTCTTGACCCGTACCATGTGGCCGGGCATCCAAACCGGGCCAATGCCATGGTTCTCAACATATACTGGGTCCCCGGGGAAGAACCCCCTTGATGCTCCCCTTTTCTCCGTATTGGGCCTTAGGAGGGGTGCCCTGTCAGGATGGAGCCTATCTAATAAGGTGGTACGCCTTCGCCCCATAAGCAGCTCGGCAGGGCTATAACCCGTCGCTGTGCAGGGGGTGGTATGCTGTGCGATTAAAAATTGGGCTAAACGATGTTGTAAGTCCCCATCCCCCGATCGCTTGAGCCCCTCCTTGGCCATACGCACCATACGTTCGACCTGACCATTCATGGCGGGATGGAACGGCGCCGACCGTATGTGTCGGATGCCGTACCTCTGAGTAAACTCTAAGAACTCCCTTGACATGAAAGCTGTACCATTGTCTAACACAAGCGTATCAGGCAGCCCAAAAGTGGCAAACAGCTTTCTCAAAGCTCTAACCATAATGGCCGTGGATGTGGTGGAGACGGGGATGATTTCTAACCATTTCGAGTGGGAATCCACCACTATGAGGATTCCCCAAATTTCTTCTCCTCCTTCAATCAAAATGGGAGTTGGTGGTGGTTTCATTGCAGGACATAGAGGAGAACTGATTGCCAGTTTCAATAGGCTACATTGACAAACTAGGTGAATACATCTAAGACATCTAAGAGTTTTGGGTAGGTCTAATTGAAATATGACTGGGTTGACAACCTTGATGATAGGGAAAGGGCCAATGCATTTGGGACCTAATTTTTTCGATTGCTTCCTAGACTGCAGTTATTTTGTGGAGAGGTAAAACTTTGTCACCTACGTTAAAGTCTTTTGGCTTGAAGCATTTTTTGTATGCCTGTTTTTTATACATTTCCTGCACATCTTCAAGCGCTTTGTGCCTATGGGCCAGGTACTTGATAGTTGGGCAATCCATTCAGCCAATGATGCGGTTTGTGGTTTGGTTTGGTTTAGTTTGGTTTGGGCAATTCAGGATAGGTACATAGTCCTGCCCAGATGCAATTTTAAAGAGGTGAAACTGGTGCTGCTATCCACTGAGTAGGCTACCTCCATGAAAGGGAGGCAATCAACCAATTATTCTGTTGGTACCATAATTAATGTAGCATCTCAGGTACTACTCCAAGATGCCATTCATATCAGGGGTGGGTTCTACTTACTTTATTACCAGTTCACAATGGGATTGCACGCCCATGCTCGCTTCACTCATGCACATGCCTTGCTTTTGCACATGCGCAGATCGCTTCTGATAACATCAGGGTCAGTGTCAGAGCCTTCTGTCAGTTTTACTACCGGTTCTATAGAACCTCATCAACCTCAGATGAGGTTGATGGGAGGAACTAAGCCCTTGGGCCATGCCAAGTAATTTTAGAAATTCCTGCCAAAATTTCAAAGTAAATTCAACTCGAAATGATATGTTCTGGGCCCCCCTGCCCACTCTCTCTCTCTCTCTCTCTCTCTCTCCCAACATATATATATGTTGCAAGAACAGCTTGGCATGTGCTGAGGGAATTTTGGAGCATGACACAAAATGTACTTGTTTAGAAAAAAGGTTCATTATCACCCAAATTAAAATGCAGTCAGCTTTATGGGCATTGAACCACTCATCTTTTTCTAATGCCACTTTTGACGCTGTAAACAATTTGTCTGGCATCTGCTTAGTGAATTTCCCTTGTCCTCTAGTGTTGGCAGAGGCTGCTAGCTGTTGGGAAAGGATGACTGGTCTGATTTTCATTTCATTTTATTTCATTTTATTAAATTTGTATACCGCCCTACTCCTGAAGGACTCAAGGCGGTGAACAGGCACAAAATAAAACACATAAAAACAAAAGTTAAAAAACATAATTAAAACCAAATTAAATAATTTTTGCCCGAGACAATTAAAATTCCCAATAATTTAAAACAAATTAAAATTTCAATTTAAAATTTAAAAGAAGGGGAGAAAATTAGGCCAGGCTGGCCTGCTGGAATAGGAATGTCTTCAAAGCACGGTGGAAAGTGCGCAGATCCAGGATCCTCCGTATCTCCGGGGGGAGCTCGTTCCAGATAATAGGTGCCCCCACAGAGAAGGCCTTCCCCCTAGGGGCCGCCAGTCGACATTGTTTGGTTGATGGCACCTGGAGGAGCCCCTCTCTATGAGAGCGTACCAGCCGGTGGGAGGCTGTTTGGGGTAGTAGGCGGTCCCGTAAGTAGCCAGGTCCTAAGCCATGGAGCGCTCTAAAGGTGGTAACCAAAACCTTGAAGCGCACCCGGAAGACCACCGGGAGCCAGTGCAGCTCGTGCAGGAGAGGTGTCACACGGGAGTGCCATGTTGCTCCCATAACCACCTGCGCGGCCGGACTCTGCACCAGTTGGAGCCTCCAGGTGCTCCTCAAGGGAAGCCCCATGTAGAGAGTGTTACAATAGTCCAGGCGGGAGGTGACGATGGCATGAGTGACTGTGTGTAGGGAGTCCCGATCCAGAAAGGGACGCAACTGGCTAATCAGGCGAACCTGATGAAAAATCCTCCCGGTCACGGCCGTCAAGTGCTCTTCTAAAGACAGCCATGAATCCAGGAGGACGCCCAAGTTGCAAGCCCTCTTGGTGGGGGCCAGCGATTCGCCCCCAATAGTCAGCGATGGCGTCAACTGACTGTATCAGGACGTCAGAAACCACAGCCACTTGGTCTTGGATGGGTTGAGCCTGAGCCTGTTCCTCCCCATCCAGATCCGCACGGCCTCCAGACACTGAGACATCACTTTAAGGGCATTGTTGGGGTGATCCAGGGTGGAGATGTACAGCTGGGTGTCATCAGCGTACTGGTGGTACTTCACCCCAAAACCACGGATGATCTCGCCCAGTGGCTTTACATAAATGTTGAACAAAAGGGGCGAGAGGACCGACCCTTGTGGCACCCCACATATGAGGGGCCTCGGGGTCGACCTCTGCCCCCCTGCCAACACAGACTGCAACCGGCTGGAGAGAAAGGAGGAGAATCACCATAGTACAGTGCCTCCCACCCCTAACTCTTCCAACCGGTGCAGCATGATACCATGGTCGATGGTATCAAAAGCCGCTGAGAGGTCTAACAGGACCAGGACAGAGGAGCACCCCCTGTCCCGAGCCCTCCAGAGATCATCAACCAACGCGACCAATGCCATTTCCGTGCTGTACCCGGGCCTGAAACCCGATTGGAACGGATCCAGATACGTCGTCTCATCCAGATGCTGGGGAAGCTGTTGCACAACCACACTCTCAACAACCTTCGCCACAAAACGAAGATTGGA